TACACACCATCTTCCCCATACAAGATTACATTGGTATGTTGTATCTAAATTGAGATAGGAATTCAAGAACTTGTAATTTTAAGGAGCAAAACAACATGCAAAAGAAAGTATTACATCAGAAAATGATAGAATGAGATCAGGCTAGAGTTGCGTCTACAATTCGTGGGAATAATAAAGCAATATTAAAGACAGTTAAACCACAAGTTATATCCCTAAAAGTCAAAAGAGAGAAGAAATACTAGGGATAAACAACATCATAATGTTGAAGGCTCTACTTGCTATATAGGATTACAAGTTATCCATCTATGGACAAAATACTTTACTTTTTTTTAACTGGGGGGGGGGGGGGGGGGGGGGGGGGGGGGGGGGGGGGGGGGGGGGGGGGGGGGGGGGGGGGGGGGGGGGGGGGGGGGGGGGGGGGGGGGGGGGGGGGGGGGGGGGGGGGGGGGGGGGGGGGGGGGGGGGGGGGGGGGGGGGGGGGGGGGGGGGGGGGGGGGGGGGGGGGGGGGGGGGGGGGGGGGGGGGGGGGGGGGGGGGGGGGGGGGGGGGGGGGGGGGGGGGGGGGGGGGGGGGGGGGGGGGGGGGGGGGGGGGGGGGGGGGGGGGGGGGGGGGGGGGGGGGGGGGGGGGGGGGGGGGGGGGGGGGGGGGGGGGGGGGGGGGGGGGGGGGGGGGGGGAGGGGGGGGAGGGGGGGGGGGGGGGGGGGGGGGGGATGTAGATGGGTTCAGTGATGAAAATAGAATTTCTATGTTTCTTTGCCAAAATTATTAGTCATCTGAAGTTCACGGAGAATTTGGTGGCGTCTTCAAAGAGACTTCTATCTTGTCTTTATGTTCCGTCACAGCAGCTCGAAATTCCTCAACAATAGAGGCATCCTTGAACTTCAAAGCAATTGTTGAAAGTCCATCTTTCCCATCATCAGCACTATTCATACAAGCAAAGGTGACACCTTTTTTATCCATACTTGCGAGCTTCATTTCAGGATAAAGGTTGGCATTCAAAATCAACCTGTAATTTCCTCTGGTTCTCATAACAAGTCTAGCTTTTCCAGTTCCACTTGAAATATTGAGCTTCAGCTCTCCCTTTCCACGCTCCTTCCACCCTCCATTAAGATATTCAAACAGCATAGAGTCAGCTGTAAAGATTGCCTTTTCATGCTCCTCCCCTGTTACAACGGGAACCTCTTGCATGGAAGGAAATCCAGTTCCCTCGCTCTTTTTAACACTAGATGACCCTGAGTAACCGAATAGAGAAGCATTTCCATTAGTGGCAAGACTAACACCGATAATTGACTGGTCGCTTTTTACTCCAAAGAGAGACCCAGAACCAGCACCTGATTCAGAACCAAACCCTAGTGGAGATCCCTCTTTTGAACTAGCTCCAAATGAGAATGTAGTATTGGAGAACCCAGTTCCTGCAAGTCCTGTGAAAGCGTTTTGGCTACTGGAGAGCTGTTGAAACGAGCTAAAAGATGCAGTTTCAGCATCCTTGTCATTTTTTCCATCGCCAACGTGTTTTTCCATTTCAATTTCTGTCTTATTGCCTCCCACTTCTATGCCATCTGCACTCTTCTCCACTACCGTGACCGTCTTAGTGTCATCTTTAATTTTCTCACTTCCCACTGCCTTCTTTTCAGTAGATTCAGGCTTGTTAGGCTCATTAGGCTTATCAACTTTCTCCTTATCAACATTAGCATCAGCGGTTGACTCAAATTTGCTCTCTGGTAGTTTAGAATTTTCATCACTTTCCTTCTCATGATCAGCTTCCTTACTCACATCTGTTTCTTCCTTTTTAATTTCCTCACTTTGATCATTTGAATCTTCTGGTTTCTTGGAAGATGTTGTTCCATTCCCAGCTTCAGTTGTGGTCACGGCAGGAGTTGTACTGGTATTAGCAGGTGGAACCAACTGGATCGCTGCAAAAGGGTTAGAAGAAGGAGTAGTTGTAGTCGATGCTGCTTTACGAACTTTGACAATTCTCCTATTTGCCATCACCTCATCACTTGCTCTCTTGAAAGTTCCATTCTCCTGTTCAGATGACTCATTATCATCATCAAGACCAGGATTATCTCGTGATAGTTCCTTTACAGCAGCCCTTTTCTTTGATGGTTGAAGAGATTCCGCGTCCCCCATCCCAAAATGAAGAACGACACTTGAAGAGTTCCCAAAAAATTGATGACGATTCAAATTTCTGCAGGAAATACTCAGAAGTCTCAGTAACCTGACAAATGAATTCAATCTGCTGTGTGGCATAAAGCAGCCTAGGCCATTGAGAGGGAAGTCACAGTCTAGATAAACCAGGACAAAAAGACAACAGACTGCCCAGAAAAATCTCATCAATCATCAGGAAGGTGGATCTGATGACAGTAGTACTTTGAAATAACTACACGGAAGCTTATACCATGGCAACAAACTATCCCAACAACTAACATACACAACAAACTCATTGAAGAAAACAACCAACTAGTAGTTAGAATGTCAAAAGCTTCATGTCAAGCTTTCAGACCTGCTTTGTAACAGCATCAGAGGTACAAAGGCCAGAACATACAATGGAAAGGTGATACAAGACTGCTGAGTTAAGATACATACAGACACACATGCGAGAGCATTTACTCCCTGTATCCAACCAGGTTATCGATTACCGTTCAAAAATGAGCATGAAAAGTTTTTTATATGTAAAATGAGGATGAGTAGTAGTAAGTATAGAAAATTAAACAATTCCTTTTGTCGTATTCAGAGCCTTTCAGATCGCATGCATGCATAAAACTCTTATCAATATCAAACAGAAACTTGGAAGACATAAGACAGCACTGTAGAAGCAGAACCCAAAGAATTTCTTTATAAGGAAACAAGAAAACAGAAGTGGAGCTCTGAATTTTCTAATTCAAAACCTCTTATTTCTCAACTACTTTACATGAATCAAAACCTTCCTGAAGAATTTCACCAAAAAATTTACTGCAAACACAAGGCAACTGATAAGCTTTAAACTGACAAGTGTCTTGACATAGAGGCGGATCCAAAATTTGATCTTTATGGGTTCAAATTTGGTATTTTACCACAGTTCATTTGATTTTCTAGGTTCAAAATCAATTATTTGTACTCAGTAAGAATTTTTTTTAACAAATATACAGGGTCCGAGAAAAAGCTACTAGGTTTGAATGAACCATAGGACCTTAACATACAACCCACAGAAGGCCAAAGGTAGTGGTGAAAGTACATTCTAAATCCTACGACAAATCTATGCTTTTTCCAACCTCTCCATTTTGTGTATTGGTATTACATTCCTCTTTACAAATATGTAAAGCTAGCAACAGAATTGAGTGATTTCTTCTGTGTACAGGATCACAACATTTTTGGTGAAAAATAGGAGGTCGACTAAATGAATCTTTTGTGGGATCCTACCCTCCCCAAATCCTACTAGTGGGATTACACTTGGTATTTTGTAGGCAGTGTCAGACCAAGAATTTTTCAGCAAACGGATTCTATATATGAAATAGTAAATGCGCCAAGAAGCGAACAGAACAAAGTTTTATCACTCAAAAAATTCAACAATAAGGCATTCTAAGAAATACATGTTTTAATCAGCTGAAAATCAAACGCAGTGACCATTACAACATAAAGAAGTAGCTAACTTGAACAATGAAACAAATCACACCAGATATAACCTACATTTTTATAATTCTTCACTACCGCGGTAACAAAATTCACATCTTCTTCCTCATTTATTCTCTTCCAGGAAAGATTTGGGTCTATCATTATGTGTCACTGAAATAACACTCCTTCCAGTTGAACTAGTTTCAAATAAGAAATCATTACAACTTACATACAAAATATTTCAATCTCAGTTCATTTCCTATATCCATTTCATTGGCCAAACAGTACCTTACCAGAAAACCTTCTCTCACAACAAATTCTGGATTTGTTTTACCGATAGTTATTTTAATCAAGTATAATAAACCATAAGCTAAAAATCGAATTAATTACAGAAAATCCATGAACAAAAGCAAGAGAAGAGAGATCGACGTTACCTGGAAGCAGTCTGATTTCTTCAAGTAGTTTTAGAGAGAAACTTTCTACTGTAATGAAAATGGTAGCGAAGTGTATAAAAACCCTAGACTGAGCTAATGAACAGAATCAGCTTCCTTTTTCTATTTTTTTTTTTGCTTTCCTTATTTATTCTTTTTTGCGCATTTCACTTTTAGAAAGATTAAAATTTAGCTCACGAAGTAGTTATTTATTAATTATCTAAAAACCATCTTTTAAATAAGTTGAATCTTTTAATTAAATTATTTTTGAATTGCAATACATGAATTGTTTTCAGAATATTACTATCAAGTTTGGTACGTGATAGGAAATAAAAACATAGGTTCATAAATTCAAAAGCAAATCGTAAGATATGGTGTATTCTTAAGCAATAAAGCATAGTACTAATATATCTTTTTAATTAGCGATGTTTTGCAAATTCTTTTCATTCTAATAAAGTGAGTGACCTGTCACTAATAACTGATATTATTCTAATGACCAAGCAAGGATCAACTTCTTACTTACTTGTCAAGCGATAGTTTTGCAATACCCACCAACAATGAGCATGAGTAAATGCTTTGATGAAAGTCTTTTATATATTTATGTTCTTTGGTGTACTTGTTGAAGCTTTTCAAATTATGCAGAGATCATACACATTGGAGCTTCAAATTCATTAGTTGCATTTGTAACTACAACTAAACATAACTGAATTTCAAGCTATTACCTTTGATCTGCAAGTGGATTTAAATCAAACTTTGACATCCTAACCATGATAAAAATTACTATTATAACCCTAAAAAGAAAATTGATGAAGTAAAAGAACATGGTGTTTGTTATAGGAAGTCATCTTTCTGCTTGAGATATAATTCCATGGTGTTTGGAATCATAGTATTATCAGTAAGTTCAAGTTTTAGCTTATGTTTAATTGAAATTCGACTTCTAAATCCTTAATATAGTGAAAGTGATTGGGCCAATAAAATGGAAAAAAGAAAATATTAATATCTCAATCTGCTACATAGAGATTGTTACTACCATTGACTGAATACAGTTGGCAGAAAAGGCTCTGGTGAAGGGAACACAGTGAGTTGGAGAATCATAGAGAAATATGAACTCAAAAGCACTTCCGCAGTATCTCCACTTGCATATTTTGTGCAACTGTTTTTACATTCACGATGGATTGAAAGAATTTTGACGGATTAAAGAATGGTATCCCTCATAAAGAATAATAGTGTATAAATCTATGCGTGACTAACTGAGCTGGGACAAATGTTTTCTACAGTGTGCCACCAAAACTCGTTCACCACTCAAAACAGACAGACAGCCAGTCCCTTCATCGTTCGTCCCATTCAGACAACAACTTTGAGAACCTGGAATGAAAAGTTCAAATTTCTGTCAAACGGCCCAAACAGTGCATGTTTTCCCTGATGTGAAGGTAAACAAGGAATTCAGGAATTTGTCAGAATTCTACAACCTGTCAACACGAATTAAGGTGTAAAAAACAAAACTGAAAATAATTATAGCTTAATCTGGCCAAACAAATTGAAGATTTTTCTTCGGTCTAAATGTTCTATAAAGCCAAGGAATTCAAACACTCATTATACATTGTAAGCAGAACTTTTCGAAGATCTGCATTATTGAAGTGTAGTCAAATAATGTAAACTAAAACATTATGCAAGTGAAAGAACTGCAGAACACAATTATTCTATCTTTTTCTGGATAGTACACACAGCGCTTTCAAGAATATTTCTGTATTACAATGTGGTTACACATACGTATGAATAAAAAAATTAACCAAATTCTAGGGGGGGAAACATGGCTTCTTCAGTTTCTTGCATATAGCCCAAGGCAGAACAAGGTTAAATGTACAAGTTCAAATATTCTACAAGGGCACCAGTCAAGCAAATGAAATGATATGCGTGCAAGTGTAGTTAGCACACAAAAGACTTGGTAAATAAGATAAAATTTGAAGCACCCCCAATCAAGAAGACATACAGATAAGAACTGTTTATCAGACAAAGGATGCATAAAATTATGCTTGATGCAGAAAACTCAATTCTCACCATAAGAACGGATTACATACAGCTGGAACCAACTGTCTTCACTGAACCTAGTTATGTGGTGTAAGCACTGCAAAAAGAATAAAAAGGAATGAGAGGTAACTAACAATAAATTGACAACCACAAAAAACAACATACCCAGTGAAATCCCACAAGTGGGGTCTGGGGAGGGTAGAGTGTACGCAGACTTTACCACTACCTCGTGGAGGTAGAAAGGTTATTTCGTAAAGACCCTTGGCTCAAGTTCAGCAACTTCAGGTATAAAGAAGAAGAAAAAAACATTGACGAAAACATAACACAACAGCTAATAAGAGAGGCAGTATAAAGTAACAATAAATTGAACGAAAAAGAAAAGAACAAGCACAAATAGGGACTAATCGAGAAGGAGAAGTGAAATGCCAAGAAACAAATGAATACCAACGTAGTTAACTTCCTAACCTATGCAAGAAACAAATGAATGTCAAATGCTAATCAGCTGAAAAATATTAGCCAGTGCTGGAATTTTCACCCATAGAAGCAGTTCAAGCTAAATGACAGAAATTATCTATGGATTGAGGTACTTTAAAAAGCTTGAAAATACATTAATATCTAGACATGAAAGAAGAGAACAAACTCCAAACTCCACATTTTAGTATTTCATAGGAAAGGCAATATGCCTTCTCAAGGTTGGGTTTGCCAAAATTGCAATTGCTTCAAGCAGTTAAGGTTAAAGAAAAAACAAGGAGGCATAAAAGAAAAAAGAGAAGGATTTGGAATGTATAGGAGCCAAACACAGCAACTAAAAGAAATTCAATTAATCACCAGCTACAAAATTAGGATTTTCACACCGGCCCAACCAATTGCTTTTAGGCTGACGGTTTTCCTTCAGTATTCGTACCCCACTCTTCTTCAGCCTCGTTTCCATTGACGAGTACTGCACTATCAGTAGAGTCAGCATCTACAACAACAGCCTCTTCTTGGCTCTCCTGTTGAGTGCCATCTTGTCCATGTTCTTGCACCTCATCACCATTCTGTTCCACAACCTGGGGAGTTTAAACAAGGAAACAATCAGTTTTAAACATGGCCTTTACCACAGTGATTAGTCGTATAAGCTGCTTGTATGAAGGGTATCAACTACCATCGAGCATAAGGTTGTTGTTAAGATGCTTGAAATACAAACTATTATGCCATACATCCATACCTAATCCCCAGCATTGTATAAACAAAATAATGTAAAATGCTAACTATGTTTTCTACTCCTTTTTTTTAATATATATATATATATATATATATATATATATATATAA